ACCACAATAGACTCTTGTTGAACCCTCTGACCCTGAGTCTCTTGAGCACCCGTAACAGCTTCGATGTTAGTTATCATTTTTCCTTGGATTTTGTGTTGGCCGCTTACCAAAAACCGACCACCTCAAACTTTCTTCACAATTCAAAACAAAAGACACGTTAGACTAGACTCAGTTAGTCATTATTATCAACATTTCTCATTTTTGTTTTTCATTTTTTCTCATTTTTTTTTCAATGGTTGATCGAACTTGATGTGGGCTACCTACGTATCATGTGGGAACATGAATCAGATCTTGCGTAGTTCGGGAAGATCAGAAATAAAGTAAATAAACTAACTTTTTTTGAATTTTGAATTTTTTATTTAATTTTTTCGAAAGAAAAACTTATAAAGAAGAAAGAGAATATTTTTGGATTTTGATTTTTCTTCAGCATTTTTACAAAGAAAGACTTCTAAAGAAGAAAGACTTTTTTTTTTTTTTTAATTTTGACTTTTTCTGGAATTTAGAAAGAAAAACTTCTAAAGAAGAAAGAAAATATTTTTGGATTTTTTGGAATTTTATTTTGAATTTATGAAAGAAATGCTTCTAAAGAAAAGAAAATATTTTGATTCTTGAATTTATTTTCAATGAAAATATTTTTAGATTTTTTATTTTGGTTTTTTTTTGATTTATTTTTCAAAATTTTTGAAAGAAAGACTTCTAAAAAAGAAAGATTTTTTTTTGGATTTTGCATTTTGATTTTCTTTTCGAATGAAAACTTCTAAAATAAAAGAAAATATTTTTGGTTAATTTATTTTTTATTTGGACTTTCTAAAGAAGGAATTGAAGAATTGTTTTTTGAATATTTGAAAATTGGGGTCTTAAAAGAAAGACATTCTATAGAAGGAAGTAAAGGAAGTTTTTTTTGGATTTTTTTTTTTGAAAATTATGGGTTGGAACCGATGAGGTTTGCCTACGTATCTCACATCCGGTGAGAATCAGACCAGCGTAGTTCGCCCATTTTTGACGAAATAGAAAAACGTGACTTTTGAAAAGAATCACTTATTTTCTTTCATTTTGTTTTTTTTTGAAAATTTCGGCAGAGTTTCGGAGTACCTACCTCTCACTCTTGATTTTTTTTTCCTTTTTTTTTATTTTCTTTCCCTATTCTATATGCCAGTCAACATGCAAGCCGAAACAAACTGATACGCAAGTAGCACGTAAGATGCATCAGGATGGTCCTTTAATTTGGGTACAGCTGTCCTAGACGGACTCAACCCCTGTGTTGAGCCCCCAAAGTCAAATGCACGTGATGCAAACAAATGTTCCTACTAGGGATCCGGCATGAGGCTATGTTATTCTATGTTTGAACCCTGGGTGTATTGTTCTAGACTTGGCTTACCCGAACGGACAACTCGAGCCGAGGGGGGACAGCGTACCAGGAATACAGAAGCTTCACCGGCTTTGCAACTTATCCGAACCTCGTTCTAAAATTAGGATATGACTCTAACAGAAAAGAGGCTACACGAAGTGCACGCATCCCAGATGACTTAGAAGACTCGTAGAGAAGAGGGTTTCGTAACAGTTTATATACAGTCCAAGAAATATCAAAGCAGTAAAAAGAGACATTTAGCACATTAGGCTCAAACATGTAAAAATCAGATAATAAATAAAAGCCAACTATAACAGTTATTCTAAGCTTGAATTCTGAACCCTGAACCAGAAGTTCTGGGTTCTTTTCCCCGGCAGAGTCGCCAAAGCTGTCACACCTCCTTTTTACACCCTGAGGGGGTATATAAGGGAGTTTTTTCAATTAAAGTGACATTATTCAAAATGAGATTATTTAATTATTAGAGTCGCCAATTAGAATAAATTATTTGGTGTTCCAAGTCGCCGATTTATTTTAAAATCCCAAATCGAGGAAATTTTATTTTTATTTAAAGTCTGCGAACCAGAACTTCTAGATAAGGAATTCAGTTAACCCGGAAGAAGGTGTTAGGCATTCCCGGGTTTCGTGGTTCTAGCACGGTCTCTTAAACTATTAAACTTGGCCTATTATCCGATTTATTACATGTTTTAGCCTATGGTGCATTTTTAGCTTTAAAACTGCTTTTAATTATTTTAAAACGCTTTTTAGGAAGATTCAACGTTATATAAAACATGCCTTGAACCACGCCACATGAAATGCACCCGCGGTTCGCGACACGTTCTATTTAACATTTTTCAGAATTGAAATTGGGTCACATGAAATGTATACCCGAAATTAGTAACTAAAAGAAAATCAATTTAGAGAACGCGCCTAAAGCAACTACGACGATTCAAATTAATAACAACGTTTGAGAGGGCCATGGAAAATTCAATTGATGGCACACCTCGATTTTCAAAGAAATAGTATTAATTATATGAGGACCATGGGCTTAGGGATTTTATTTGGCATGGCACGCCTCAAATTATTCCAAAGGGTTTTATTATTCGAAGTTGTTACAATCGGGTTACATGAAATGCACCCCCGAATTGAGATTCACGAATCGTAACCATACGGTCACGATGATTTGTTATTAATCGCGCCTAAATCACTCTAACGGTGTAGTCGCCTTGAACATACTCTTAGCGATTAAACAATAAATAAAAAGTAAAATAACGAGAACTATTTTAAGAACAGAAGACCTTTAATTCCGTTCGACCCAAATCCCATGACGCATTCATCCTATTTTGCAGTATTACAAATTTCTTTTTTATATAGACTTTATCAACAATAATATCCAAACTACTGAAATATCATATTCATGACATCAAGCTGCTTTGGTCAACCAACAAAGATAACACATTTAATTTCAATATTCAAGCCATTTATAAGATCAGGCAGCAAGATTAAAGAGATTAGAGGAACAGAGCAAGAGTTAGACCTCAAATGTACAGCAACAAATCGTTTGGATCTCACGGACCACATACGACGACCTCGATGAACAACCTCGCCTCCGACAGTACCTCAATCGCAATTTCAAAACAAATTGAATGGACGATATCTGTAATAAACCAAGCAAAGTTTGAAACCAGATTCACGTGCCTCTCATGCTCACAAGAACTCAATGAGTTCGCTACTATCCCTTTCCCGTTCTGTGCGTGTGTGTGGCTGTGTGTAAGTGTTTTCCGGCGAGAGGGAGATGAGTGTCATGTTTTCGTGATAGAATAGAGGGGAAGAGATTGGCTACTGCCGTATGTGGTTGTTCATGGTGGTCTCTTATGAAAATGGCGGATGGTCTGTTCCTTGAAGAGAAAGGACTGTTATGGCAGTTGTGGAGGGGTCATGACTGGGCTGGTTGTTCGTTTAGGTTGAAGAAGAAATAGAATCGTGGAGGGGTGTGTGTTTTCCGGTGTTACAACGGCGGATTTGCTGGTGCTTCATGTGTCTAGCTCCTTGGTCGTTTTTGATTAGGAAGAAGCCATGGAATTTTGGATTTCTTATCTGAAGAAGAAGATCCAAATGATAGGGGAGGGGTCTTTGGTTAAAAAACGGCGCTTGTTAGCTTTTTCTCTAGGTCATTTTAGGTCAGCTCTTTTTTTTTTGTCTTGTTTTCTTTGTGTATTTTGCTGAAGAAATGGCGGATCTGATGGGTTTTTAGGCGTAGGTCCTTTATTTAGGAATTAGGAACTATTATATAGGGGTAGGAATTAGGTTAGGAGTATGGGCCTAGGAATTATGGGCTAGTTCCAAAATTTAGGCCTAAAAATGAGTTGCTAAGCCCAAATTTTTATTTTTTCCCCCGCAATCAAAATTAAAAGACGATCTCATTTATTAGTTCGTCCTACTTAAGTAAAATAACTGTTAAAATAAGACTGACCATTAAACCAAAATTATTTTTTGGTATTTTTCAAGATTAAAAATGACTACAAAACATTAATGAAACTATGTTTTTGTAATTTTTATTTTCTTGTAATAAAATAAAGTAATGAAATATAAAAAATCTTGGGGAGGGTCAAAAATCACATGTCTACAGTACTCATGCCCTTTCTGCGCATGTTTTTCATGTGCAGATACAGGTACTTCTACTCAGACTTATCACGCTTGAGACGAGGATCTTGAAGAGACTCCGAGGTATATCTGCCGCGTCCGCAGACCGAAGAGTCCCTTTCTACTCTCCCTTTTTTGTATTTAGCCCTTCTGTATTTCGTTTCTTTGTTAGATATTCTAGAGTTAGATATTTATAGACATTCAAAGGCTTGTGATCATGAGATTTCAGGTTTTGGGAAATGTATTTAGATTTTGAGAGTAGATATTGTGTATGCCGAGCGACACTTTTAAACACTGTTTTGTTTCACTATTTCATTTTTATTATTTCTTCCGCAAATTGGTTTATTTTCCGCATTGTTAGGCTTACCTACTCGTAGAGACTAGGTGCCGTCACGATGATTCACGGAGGGCGAACTGGGATTGTGACAAGTTGGTATCAAAGCTCTAGGTCCATAGGAGTCATGAATCACAAGTCGATTTATTAGAGTCTCGCAGATCGGTACGGAGACGTTTGTACTTATCTACGAGAGGTTGTGTAACTGTTAGGAAAATTCTACTTCATTTGATTTCCTTGTCGTACGAGATTTTTGATATCACAACTCTAAACTTCTATCTTTTATTCTCTCACAAATGGTGAGGACACGTGCTACTCGAGATGATCAAGCACCTGCGCCCCTTACTGCAGCCGTCAGAGACCGGGGTCGGGGTAGAGGCCGAGTACGCGCACGTGGTATAGCTAGAACACCCTTGTGAGCTGCTGCCGAGGTACCACTAGCAGTTCCAGTCAAAGTCTAGGCACCTGATACGCCTGCTACTACTACTACTCCAGCACTTCAGGAGACTCTTGCGCAGTTCATGAGCATGTACACCACTTTGGCTTAGGCAGGATTGCTTCCCCTTGCTGCAGCCAGATCTCAGGCTAGGGGAGGAGCACAAACTCCCGCCACCCGTACTCCTAAGCAGTGAGTGCAGGTTGATCAGGTGCTAGAAATTATTCTTGTACAACCTGTAGTTCTAGGTCAGGATGAGGACAGGGCAGCGGCTTCAGAGGATGAGCTGCGGAGACTTCAGAGGTTCAAGAAGTATGATCCTCCAGTATTCAGTGGGTTAGCATCAGATGACACCTTGGGCTTTCTGGAGGAGTGTCACTGTATTCTCCACACTATGGGTATATCAGTATTGAGTGGGGTTTCTTTCATTGCCTTCCAGCTTCGAGGAGCCACCTATGAGTGGTGGCACATCTATGAGTTAGACAGTCCGGACAATGCTGCTTCACTAACTTGGACCCAGTTTTCAGATATGTTCCTGAGAGAGTTTGTTCCTCAGAGCCTTAGGGACGCATGGCACGCAGAGTTTGAGCATTTGCGCTAGGGTGATATGACTGTCTCAAAGTATGATGTCCATTACACTAGCTTGGCTAAACATGCACCGGCCTTGGTTTCTACTATTTGCGAGAGGGTTCACCGGTTTATTGAGGGGCTTATTCCTAGCATTAGGTCTATCATGGATCATTAGTTGGAGATGGATATTTATTATCAGCAGGTGGTGAGCATTGCTAGGAGGATTGAGGGTATGCATGCTAGGTAGAGAGAGGAGAGGGAGGCCAAGAGGTCTCCAGAGTCGGGCCATTATTGTGGTGCCCGTGCCCCAGCTGCAGATCATCATGGTAGAGGTTATATGAGTCGCCTCGTTCATTCAGCTCTTCCAGCAGCCAGTGGTATTCCAGCTCCTCCTAGGCCTTAGGAGCCTTATTATGCACCTCTAGTATCTAGTGCGCCTCCTGCGCGGGGTGCTTTTAGTGGTCAGTCCAGCAGACCTGGCCCGAGCTAGTCACAACCACCACATCCTCCCAGAGCTTGTTTTGAGTGTGGTGATACATGCCATATGGTAAGGTATTGCCCCAGACTTAGGAGGGGTGCACCTCCGCAGACTTCTCAGCCACAACGTGTCTCGCAGAGTTTTTAGGCTATGGTTACAGCTCCAGCTACTACCCCACCTGCTCAGCTAGTTAGAGGTAGAGGTCGGGGAGGTAGAGGTCACCCTAGAGGGGGAGGCCAGGCCAGATACTATGCCCTTCCTGCCCATACTGAGGCTATTGCCTCTGATTCTGTCATCATAGGTATTATACTGGTTTGTCACAGAGATACATCGGTTCTATTCCATCTAGGCTCCACTTACTCTTATGCCCCGTTTATGTTTCTACTCTTGTGGGAGATTCTGTTGTTATGGACCACGTTTATCGGTCGTGTTTGGTTGCTCTTAGTGGTTTTGAGACCAGAGTCGATTTATTATTACTCAGCATGGTAGATTTTGATATTATCTTGGGCATGGACTAGTTGTCGCCCCATTATGCTATTCTTGATTGTCATGCCAAAACCGTGATGTTGGCTATGTCAGGTGTACCATGTGTTGAGTGGAGGGGTTCTTTAGATCACACTCCCAATAGAGTTATTTATTTCCTAAAGGCTTAACGTATGGTTGAGAAGGGGTGTGACACGTATCTAGCTTTTGTGAGAGAAGTCAGCATTGATACCCCTTCAGTTGATTCAGTCCCAGTAGTACGGGATTTTCCTGATGTGTTATGTAGCTGATCTTCTAGGCATGTTGCCTGATAGAGATATTGATTTTAGAATTGATCTATTGCCGGGCACTCACCCATTTCTATTCCTCCGTATCGTATGGCTCCTCTTGAGTTGAAGGATCAGTTATATGAATTGCTAGACAAAAGTTTTATTAGGCTCAGTGTATAACCTCGGGGTGCTCCTGTCTTTTTTGTGAAGAAAAAGGATGGTTCTATGCATATGTGCATTGATTATCGCTAGTTGAACAAAGTTAAAGTGAATAACCGTTATCCTTTGTCTCGTATTGATGATCCGTTTGACCAACTTCAGGGCGCACGAGTGTTATCTAAGTTTGATTTGCGCTGAGGTTACCATCAGTTGAAGATTCGGGAGCCAGATATCCTGAAGACTGCTTTCAGGACTCAGTATGGTTATTACGAGTTCCTTGTTATGTCATTTGGGCTGACCAATGCCCCAGTAGCCTTTATGAATTTGATGCACAGTGTGTTCCGGCCGTATCTTGACTCATTTTCATTGTATTTATTGATGATATCTGGTGTATTATTGGAGTCGGGAAGATCATGAGCAGCACCTGAGGACAGTGCTTCAGACCTTGAGAGAAAAGAAGTTATATGATAAGTTCTCAAAATGTGAGTTTTGGTTAGATTCTGTGGCATTCTTAGGCCACGTGGTGTCGAGTGAGGGTATTCAGGTGGATTTGAAGAAAATAGAGGCAGTCCATAGTTCGCCCAGACCATCCTCAGCTATAGAGATACGTAGTTTTCTTTGCTTGGCAGGTTATTACCGTCGTTTTGTGGAGGGGTTTTCATCGATTGCAGCCCCTATGACCAGACTGACCCAGAAGGGTGTTCCGTTCCAGCGGACGGAAGAGTGTGAGGCAAACTTTCAGAAGCTCAAGACAGCTTTGACTACAACCTCAATTTTGCTATTGCCTATAGGTTCAGGGTCTTACACTATCTATTGTGATGCCTCGAGGATTGGCCTTGGAGCGACTTTGATGCAAAATGGTAGGGTGATTGTCTACGCGTCCCGACAGTTGAAGGTTCACGAGAAGAATTATCCGGTCCACGACCTTGAGTTAACTGCCATTGTTCACGCCCTGAAGATCTGACGTCATTATTTGTACGGGGTTCCTTGTGAGGTTTATACCGATCATTGGAGCTTGCAGCACCTGTTCAAGCTAAAGGATCTAAACTTGCACTAGAGGAGGTGGTTAGAGTTGCTGAAGGACTATGATATCACTATTTTGTATCACCCGGGTAAGGTCAATGTGGTGGCCGATGCCTTGAGTCGCCAGGCAGAGAGGTTGGGGAGTTTAGCTTATTTACCAGCATCGGAGAGGTCTATGGCGATGGATGTTCAGTCCTTAACCAGTCAATTGGTGAGATTGGATCTTTCGGAGCCCAGTCGGGTTCTAGCTTCCGTGGTTCCTTGGTCTTCCTTATTTGACCGTATCAGGGAGCATCAGTATGATGACCTTCATTTGCTTGTCCTCAAGGACAAGGTTCAGCATGGTGATGCCAGAGATATGACCATTGGTGATGACGGGGTATTGAGGATGCAGGGTGGGATTTGTGTACCCAATGTCGATGGGCTTTGGGAGTTAATTCTAGAGGAGGCCCATAGTTCGCGGTATTCCATTCATTCGGGTGCCGCGATGATGTATCAGGATTTGAGGCAGCACTATTGGTAGAGGCGGATGAAGAAAGATATAGTTGGATTTGTATCTCGGTGCCTCAATTGTTAGTGGGTGAAGTATGAGCACCAGAGACCGGGAGGGTTGCTTCAGCAGATAGAGATTCCAGAGTGGAAGTGGGAGCGGGTCACCATGGACTTTGTGGTTGGTCTCCCACGGACTTTGAGAAAGTTCGATGCTATTTTGGTGATTGTGGATCGGCTGGCCAAGTTCGCGCACTTCATTCCTGTGTGTACTACTTATTCTTCGGAGCGGTTGGTGGAGATTTATATCCGGGAGATTGTTCATCTGCATGGTATTCCAGTTTCCATCATTTTCGATAGGGGTACTCAGTTCACATCATGATTCTGAAGGGTCGTTCAGCATGAGTTAGGTACTCGGGTGGAGTTTAGTACAACATTTCACCCTCAGACGGATGGACAGTCCGAGTGCACTATTCAGATTCTTGAGGATATGCTCTGTGCGTATGTGATTGAGTTTGGAGTGTCTTGGGATTAGCTCTTTCCATTGGCGGAGTTTTCCTACAACAACAGCTATCAGTCCAGCATTCAGATGGCACCGTACAAGGCTTTATATGGTAGGCGATGTAGATCCCCGGTGGGTTGGTTTGAGCCAGGTGAGGCCAGATTATTGGGCACAGACTTGGTTTAGGATGCTTTGGAGAAGGTTAAGTTGATTCAAGATAGACTCCGTACAGCTTAGTCTAGACAGAAAATACGCGATCTGGAAGGTTCGTGATGTTTCCTATATGGTTGGAGAGCGGGTTCTGCTTCGGGTTTCGCCTATGAAGGGCGCCATAAGATTTAGAAAGAAGAGGAAGTTGAGTCCGAGGTTTATTGTCCCTTTTGAGGTATTGCGGCATGTTGGGGAGGTCTCTTATGAGCTTGCCTTACCTCCCAGCTTGGCAGGAGTTCATCCGGTATTTCATGTTTCGATGCTCCAGAGGTATCACGGGGATCCGTCGCACGTGTTGGATTTCAGTTCAGTCCAGTTGGACAAGGATCTATCTTATGTTGAGGAGCTAGTGGCAATATTGGACAGGCAGGTTAGGAAGCTAAGGTCAAAGAACATTGCATCAGTAAAGGTTCAGTGGCGGGGTCAGCCGGTTGAGGAGGCGACCTGGGAGACCGAGCAGGATATGTGCAACCGTTACCCTCATCTTTTCACTACTTCAGGTATGTCTCTATGCTCGTTCGAGGATGAACGAATGTTTAAGTGTGGAAGGATGTAACGACCCGGCCGGTCATTTTAAGAATTAATGCCATGATCCCCTATTAACTGCTTTCCCTGTGTTTTTTTCTGCCATTTTGATTTGCCGGGATGTTTGGTTTGAGTTTCGGAGAGTTTTGGGACACTTAGTCCCTAAATAAGAGCTTAAGTTTTGAAAATTTGACCCTAGTCGGAACAGTGTGAAGATGGCCTCGGAATAGAATTCCGATGGTTCCGTTAGACCTATTGGGTGATTTTAAGCTTAGAGATGTGTTCGGATTGTGTTTTGGAGGTCCCTAACTAATTTAGGCCTGAAATGCCGAAAGTCAAATTTTGAAGTTTCTGGTTTGATAGTGAGATTTTCATCCGAGGGTCGGGATGGAATTCCGAAAGTTGGAGTAGCTCCGTAGTGTTGACTAAGACGTGTGTGCAAAATTTTAGGTCATTTGTATGAGGTTCTTAGGCTTGAATCCGATGCCAATTGGTTGATTCGATGTTGTTTGAGGTGTTTGGAAGATTGGTACAAGTTTGGATAGTGGTATATGACTTATTTGTGCGTTTGGTTGAGGTCTCGGGGGCCTCGGGATGATTTCGGGTGGTTAATGGGAAGATGGAAAGTTGGAGTTGCAGCTGAAGTCTTTGGACTGCTGTCATAACCGCATC